TCTGTAAAGGTGCAAATTTTCAGTGATGAATGTCATTATATTGTATACCTAAATGTAGCAATGATTAGAATGAATAATTGATAATGTGAAATAGGAAGAAAAGGTCCAAAGGTGTTGGGGAAGTGGGAGGGGCAGGAGAAAAGAAAGAAGGGAAAGGAAAAATTATGAGAAATGGAAAAAATGGAAATAAAGTCTTTGTAAATAGGGAAGCGTGGAGTGGGTGAAGGGAGGGCTGGGAATGGGGAAACAATAAGAACCAAGATGCATCAGGTAAAGGTACAAGCTCCCAATGATAAATGTAAATGTATTATATACCTAAAATGTACCAATAAAAGAATTTAAAAACAAAAGAAAACAGAAAAAGATGCATATTGGGATGAGCCTACTTCTGATTACCACAAGAACTGTCACATAGATATGCAAAACAGCTGAAAATAAAGACAACACAATTATGAAGACAACCCTGGAAATACAGTCACTTGTGCATATGAGTTCCTCCCCAAGTGCCTTTCATAGCCTGTCTGTCATGGCACGCATTCTAGGTCTTCTATCTTTTTAAGTGTTCAGTACATGTGAAATTGCACCCCAAGATATCCAACTTAAAAGTTTCCAAATGATACTCAACCTGTATTTTAAAAACTAGAAATATGAAAAAAATTAATTGGAAACTATTTTTACCAATAAGATTGGAAAACACTTTCAAACCTTTTAAAGGCATTGACAGTGCAAGGAAATAGAGATTCTCAAAAACTCTTAGGATATATTAGAATCATAATTGTACATATGTCTTAACTCTGTATCTGTTTCTATAAATTTCTCCTAAGAACAAAATCACATAGTGTACAAAGATGTATGGTCAAGTGTTTTCACTGTGGTATTTTATGTAACATTAAACAACTGGAAACTACCTAAATGACCATCAGCAGGCAACTGTATAACTCACAAAATATAGTATCATAAAATTTATTCAGCCACTTTCCTTCTTTTGACATGGAAAGATGTATTAAGTGAAATAGAGGGCTCCAGAAGACTATCCTGTAAAACTAGTTCAGTAAAACTACATAGAAAAATGATGACCAATATCTGAGTCATGAGTATATCTAGATTGTATAATTTAACATAATTAAATTTTTACTTCCTTACATTTTGTAAAGAGATTATTATTATTATTATTTTTGGGGGGGTACCAGGGATCGAAGTTGGACCCTTGGGCTTGCAAGGCAGGTGGTGGCACCACTGAGCTACATCCCCAGCCCTGGAGTTTATTATTAATATTATTTAAAATTAGGTGTTTTATAATATGAAGAAACAATAAATCTACTTTAATTTTGGAGAAAATGTCGGCCCTAATCATTGAGAATTCTATAAAACAAGTAGTGCCAGGCTGGCACCAAACAAGGCTTTAGGAAATGAGCCCCTCAAATTCTCAAGGCAACTGATTCACTGCTTTTTTTTTAGGACAGATTCTGGATGCAACCCTCTCACAAAGTGGTTTTTGGAAAAAGATTACAGAAAAGACCATCTCACTTTCTCCTGAACCATAGATGCCTTGTTCTAGCCTGCTTTCTTTGCTGGAAGGTGAGCTTCTCAAGGCCTGGGAAAGTGTCTTGCTAACTTTTATCCTTCTCCTAAGCCTGGCATAAAAACAAAGTAGGCTGCCATTGTATAGAATGGGACTAAATCTTCCATACTTTGTTTGCTTCTGAGCTATTAAAAAATAGCTTTGGGGATGTATTAGCTTTCTATTACTGTAATAAAAACCTAAGACAATCAACTTATAAAGAGAAAAGGATTACTTTGGCTTGATCACAGTTTTAGAGGTTGCAGTACATGATCAGCTGGCCACGTCACTTTTGGGCTTGTGGCAAAGCAGCACATGATGGAGGTGGGGAATCACATGGTGAAATGTGGTGAAACTGCCACGTATCTCATAGGTAGGATGCAAAGCATAGGAAGAAAGGAATGAACTCATATTCTGCCCTTCAGGGGCCCATCCGCAGTGATCAGAATAGCTCCAGGTAGGCCTCACCTCTTAAAGTTTCCACCACCTCCAAACTGTGCCAATCTGGGATAAAGTCTTTTAACACATGGCCCTTGGAGGGATGTTTCAGACCCAAATGACAGCAGCGGAAGTCTTTGATCAAACACTGCCCACTGGGTTGTGCTTCTATACTATATAGGTGCCACTTGCAGGTGTCCTATCACTTGGATTTATTTTTGCTAATGTGATGCTTTTTGACTTCTTGTTTTTCCATCAGCAGCATAAGAAATTAATTATACTGTCATGTGCTAAGATTGAACTTTATTTTATATTGCACTTATGTTCAAAGACATTATGATGTGCAGACTTATAGTCACTGAATACACCCTATAACAGGCAATCTCAGAATGATTTGTCTTTCTCATATCCTGCCTCCATGATCACTTTTCCATTCAAGCACCTGGAGGGGAGCAGAGATACAGCCATTATCTCTGCAGATAAAGTGCATTGCTCAGTGCTCGCCATTTATTGCTTCCTTCTGTCAGTAACAGGAACAAATACACATGAACAACAGTTCAGTGTAAAATTTCCTTTTGATATGACATGCACATTAGTATAGAAGCAATAATTGGATGAACTATTTCATCAAGACTTATGAAGTGATGTGAAATAACTGCTCTTCACCAGCTATCAGTTCATTTCTTCTCAGAGACAATGCTAGTGAATACCAACCACACTTTGGCAACAGTGAAACCGACTGATAGGATTGCTAATATCATTGGTCAGTAAGAGTGATAACTGAGACACAAGCATTCCTTTGTACTGAGCCTTAAGGTACATAAACCTTTAACTCTGGGTTGTTCCTTTTACCTTGGCCAGGTGAGAGTTGATCCATTTTGTGAAAGTGCGTTTTTGTACAATCTCTTGTTCATCTAGAAAGAAAAAACATAGATAACACAGTATGTTACAAAGTTATATCATGAAAAAATAGTTATATAACTCTAGAAGTAACCATAAAGTTATTTTATCTTCTAAATCATTTTATCAATTATTGTCTTGAAGGATCAAGAGAACTTCAAATGTATAACCAATTAGACTAATTCTTTAAAAATTATCAACAAATACTTAAAGTTTATGAAATGTTAGTCTCATGTTTACCTTCATTCAGTTATTGAAAGTTCACTAATGAATTATCTCTTAATGAAGTTATTAAGAATAAATTTTGTGGAGACCGACTAAGTGCCATAGGTAACGTCAGATGCAAAGGGGTACAGAGAGATAAACAGGACAAGGTCTGTACCATGAATGAGGGAATGATGAATAAACAAGGGCTCTGTTTTGTGGAGTTGGGTAGTAATGCAGTAAGAAAGAGCTGCATAAATGAGGTATTGCAGGAGCCTATCCACAACGGGGAAGGAGGAGACCTCTCTGTATCTCCACCTCCTGGAGTCCACACTTTTGTGTAGGCAGAGAGTGGGCAGAACCTGTGACTTGCTTCTTACTCACAGAATATGACCAAGGTACTAGGATGTCAAACCATGATCACATTATTTTATGTGCTCAATCTTAGCTGAGTGGGGTGAGCAGTTCTCCTACTGACCTTGAAGAACCAAGCAGCCATGCTGGAAAGCTAATAAAGAGGGTTCATGCTGAGAACCTCCAGCTCCCTTACGAGTGGGGCACAACCTCCTGCTATGTCCAGTAAGAGGTGGGGCCCTAGTCTTACAGCCACAGGGAATGAATTCTGCTGACATTGTGAACAAGGTCAAAAGCAGATTTTCCCTAGAAGAGCCTGGGGATGAGACTGTAGCCTGCTAGACCCTGAGAAGGTGTGGCTACACTGAGCATGGACTCCAAGCACACCAAAATGTGGAGATAAATGTGTGATGTTTTAAACTGCTCAGGTTGTGGTGATTTGTTACACAGCAAGAGAAAACTAACTTAGAAGGAAAAGAATAGGACCCAGGGAGACTTTAACTAGAGGTTTGAAGAGATGAAGGTCAAGGAGAAGATACAGTTCAACACCTTAGAAAAAAGGGGTGATATCTGACATCCACTCAGCTGTCCACTGTTTGTTAAACACTGGATTAGATGCTGTGGGAGGTTGAGATGAAGAAGACACAATCCCAATTCCTCTCCCTTTGAGGCAGGATGCTCAAGTCCACATTTCTAGACCTGACCTTGCCCAGGATTCAGCTCAGGGTGTCTGAGTGTTTGCCAAAATGTATATTTCATCAATGTGATAAATATGTATGAACAAATGAATGAATAAAATTGAGAACAAGATCTTTTATTTGAGAAAATTTTGGATGCATCTATAAAAATTATAGAATTAAATTATTTCTAATGTATTTTCAACATACATTCTTGTTTTAACAAAATGCATATCAAGTACATAATAAAAACAAACTATTTTATAATAGGAAGTATTTCCTGTTTACCAGGCACTGATACATATGTTTGTGTGTGTGTGTGTGTGTGTGTGTGTGTGTGTGCATGCACAGGCTACATTATAGTTTAAGTATTTAAATTAATTATATATGCAATCATTATTGTACATAATATATATTGCATGAATTAACTCATTTAATTTTTATAACAAACATATATTAAGGACTGTTATAATTGCAATTTTGGATATAAGAGCACATTGAATGAGACACCATTAAAGTTATGTATTTTTACCAAGGTCACCTAGGCACAGTCATGGTTTAGACTCCAGAAGTCTGATCCCATAACTGCTACTCAGGAATAACATAAAATTGGTGCATTAGACTTATCAAATATTCATTACATGAAAAAGACAAGCCCACGGTTAAATAAATTTGAATTTGCCTTGGATACTTCAGATTCTATAACCAACATCATGCTGCAGCAAAATAACCTTGACTAATCAAACTGAGTTCATGGAATTCAGAGGTTTATACTATATTAACTTCAGTTCTGAACCTAAAAAGACTATAGATACTGTTACAGGGTGTGTGCAAATATTGACACAATTTAAGATTAGAAGCATCTATAAACCAAGATGTCATTTTTGAAAATGTAAATGTAAATTAGCATAAGTATGCAGCATGTTATAAATTTAAGAATATCTAGTGGTACTGTATTACTTCCTGATTTTACATTGCTGTGCTTTCTCTGCTACCACCGTCTATTAGAAAGTGCTGCACTGTAACAGTTTCATCTGATGGCAAGTCTCTGAGTTTATATTTAGATTTTGCTCAAAAGCCCTTCTCTAGAAAGCTCAGATTATGTTTTCAGTAGCATTGTATATATCTAAATGTCAAATTCCCTCCATACTTCCTTTTATCTTCTATGTGGAAAAACAGATTTCACTGGTATGTAAAAATCTACTTTTGATATTTATCAGATATAACCAGCTGAGGTCTAAGTAAATGTTTTCTAATTTTACTATTTTCCTAAAGGAAAAAAAATTCTAAAACTTAATCATGTCAGCAGATTCTTATTTTTGACATAAAATCTGAATAATATACTTGCTGATTTGGTAATTGAATCTGGTTCCAAAAGCATAAATAATTTATATTGCAAAAGTAATATAAATATGCATGAATGTCTAACAACTTTCACTCTAAAAAGTTATGATCAATAATGTTTCTTTATAATGTTGTTGACAAAGAACCAAACTAACCCCTATGATATGGGTTTTTAAGGTTTTCCTTCTATATACATCATTATATTTATGAATATTTCATTGTACTTATGCATTTTAAATATATTTAATTGGTAGTAATCTTATTGATGATCTTTCTGTCTTCAGCATTTCGAAACAACTACTTGATGTAGGCTTTCCAAATTTTAATCCATACACTTGCCAACATTTTACTAAAAACAGTAATTTGAACATTTTGCTGAATATGTAGTTTTGTTCTGAACAGAGGAAAATTTATCTTGTCCCACCAGTAAATTCAGTCCTCTAGTTCTAAAGATCACAGAGAGCAAAGAGCTGATCCAGGACCAGTTTTATTCACTAATTTCTAATAATGCAGCCTAAGATTCACCCAGTTCTTAAGCTACCCTGGAGGTCATCTTAGATTCTGTGCTCTTCCTCATCCCCATGCTGAGTGTGTAAGGAATTTCCACGAATATTAACTCCCTGTCTCATCTGTATGAACATCAGTCCTGTTCAAGCTGCCATCATCCGGATGCCTGTTCACTTCCACTTCTAGGTTAAATCTGACTTTTTTCCCCCACGTTCTTATCCATTACTGCCAAGTAGATAGAATAAGCTGTGGTTTTACTCAGTGGTTTAGCTTATGAGAGATCCTGGGATTAATCCCTAGTCTTACCCACCCCCACAAAAGAGGAACGAAATGAATGGATAGACTTCCTAAGGAAGTACTGGGGACAGACACAAGGCCACTGCTTTGGAGGAACTAGTAGTACAATGAAAGGGACAGACATCTGTACAATAATTCAAAGCAATGTGTCCATAACATTAATGGAAAACAAAGATGTCTGGAGAACATAAATACAGGAGCAAGTGACTCTTCTACAGAGTAATGAGGTGGGCTGGACGTTCCAGAGAAGCTAAAGGTAGGAGGTATGATTGAATCAAACATCACATAACAGGAAATGTGCAGGTAGAGAACGATGCATAAAATGCCTCAAGGTGCTATCAAAAGTAGAATCTAAAAGAAGTAAAGGGACAGGCACCAAGGATGCCTTCTAGATATCTGCTTGAGAGGGAAAATTATCAGATTCTAGGTAAGATTGCAGCATCGAGGCACAGGAGGGCTGGAGCCAGAGTATGAAGTGGGTGCTCCACAGATACAAAGTTATAATAGACTGATTTAAAGCCATCTTGGGGTATGGATATTACCGGATAGAGGTGAATCATACCCCCTTTCTCCTCTTATTGAGTTGTGGTTTATTTTTAAAGACCAGACTATGCAAAATTAACAATAAGCTCATTATAGGAACTCTCTGGGCCCTTCTTTCCTATGTCTTCTCTTTCTGGTTCTGTTTGAGAAGCATTTGATTGTACAAACTTCACAAGCTGGAGGCTACTGTGATCATACAAGCACATAGCCCTGGGAAATGATGTTACAGGAAATGACTCCCAAATCTAAGGCAGTATCTTTCTGTAGTGAGAAATAAAAGGAATTGCCTCAGTGCTCAATTTCTATATTTCTTTGCCCGCTTTTAGATATTTCTTCAGTATTTTGCCATTTCCAGACAAAACCATGGTACATGCAAAATGCACAAATGAGGCTCACCATAGCAAGAGTGATGACATTTGACCACACCCCAAGTCAACAGTTTTTCTCCTGATGTGTCACACCAGTAGTGACTGCTAATGTCACACACTGTGGTTTACTCTGCCGACCTACTCATTCCCCTGGCAGCACAGAGGTCAAAATAAAAGATGGAGCTAGGGACACTGAAAAGCCTTTGCCATCAATCATAAACATTACAGTCTAAATACAGAGCAAATTACCTTTCGTTTTAGTCACGATACCAAATACCCTCAATTTACAGGGGTTTAAGATGCTCCCAGTTTCAGCTCAAAATCTGCTGGCTCCAAGACAAAGACATCATATGGGAGAAGGATTTGGTGAAGCAAAGCTGCTTGGTTCATGGTGACTGGGAAGTAGGGCAGGGGGAAGAGTACCGGAGTGGAAGGGGCAAAGGACCGGACATAGACCCCAAGGCCACGCCTCCCTGGGCCGCCCAGACACACCACAAAATGTGTTTCAGCAACTCCCAGAGTAGACCCCGGGTCCCAAAGCCAATCGAGTTGAAACTCCACCCTAACTGCAGCACCTATCAATTCTACTAGGCACAGTGAATTTTCCATGTGTCATACGTTACATAAAACCATACCATAGAATTCTATTCTCACTAGCTTATAAATAGCATTATGAAATTAAAAATATGAAAATTTGTCCCAATGTTAATAGTAATTGAA